ACGGTGAGAGGGGTGTGTGTCGTATAATTTGTTTCTACTTTAACCTAACCCTCCCTGGGCCCCACCCACCAACCTCTAGCTCTTTAGTCCCTGCAATCCCCCTCTGACGAGGAAAATTGTGCGCCTCAATGGCGCTACTACTCTCCGCCGCAACGGCTCCCGTTGCTGTTTCTGTTACTGTTCTTGTTGTTGGTTTTGTTGCCGGGTGCGTTTTCTTTACTCTAGCAGAAGTAAGGGTATTTTTACTTTGACCAGAAGTTTGCAAATGGACTATCTAACTTATAAAAAGGGTGTATAATTGAAATTTATTTGCGTTAACAAAATATAAAACAATATAACAATAAGAATAATAGTGCAAGATTCAAGTTTTTGAGCTGAACTCTGGTTTGTTTTTAAAATTATTATGTCGCTTACAGAAACTTGGTTTAATGACATTATAATCCGAAAATTCATAACACACCGAAGTCGGATGACCATATTATAGCAAGCAAAACTAGATTTTTTAGAGTATCATAAGCTTCGGCTCGCAGAATTCCCATTGTAATGTAAACAATTTTTTTCATTGTTTGTTGCTTCTTTTCTGTTGTTGTTTCTTCGCTCTCTTGGTCTTTTTTCTGTTGTTTCTTCTTTCTCTTGTTATTTTTCTGTTGTTTCCTCTTTAGTTATGCAAAATAATAAAAATACCCGCAAATTCAGATATTGGCAAGGTAAACAACTGCCCCGCCCACACATTACCAGCACCCCCTCCTGTATGGGTGTGTGTGTGTGTTGTCAATGGCGAAAATATTGGCAAAACATTCAACAAAAAAAAAACCGCAAGCCGCCGCCGTCGACTCGCCACTGCTGCACTTGAACTTGCCACAAAAGCAACGCCCAACTACCCACCCACTACACCCATCCGCTCAAACGTCACAAATTATATAATCAAAAAAAAAGAACAAAATGTAAATTAAAGATAAACAAAAAACAACAGAGAAAACGCAACGAAACGCTCATTGAAAATAAATAAAACAGAATGTAAATGACCTTGCAGCGGCAAACATTCCCACACATCTCTGCGCCCCTTGGCACCCACAAACTTAAAAATAATTTCTCAAAGAGCACAGTCGTCGCCAAGGGAGGGGGGAAGAAGAGCAGCAGCCAAAAACAAGAAGAGGAGAAGTGAGAGGAGGAGAGCTCGCGGCCAAGAACAACAGCTAGACATTGGCGGTCATGCGTTGGCGTTGGAGCTGGCGTCGCGGCCACGGTTGACGCCAGCAGCGCAGCAGGTCATCTAAATTATGCAAAAACTACGAAGCACACAAACACAAACACACGTGCGGAAATATACATGTATGAATGAATAACGATTATCGCTCCAACTAACGGAATTTCAATTTCAGCACGCATTTGTGTTACAGGGCGCCCCCACTCCACCACTGACAAGCCAATCGTTGGATGAACCGCTTTTTTTCATGGGCGCGTTTATGATTGCCTCTGCCAGAACTGTGCCGTTCCCTACTGCTCCCCGCGGACCCATTACAGACACACACACTGGCATAAAGAGAAGCGTGCCAATGCCAATCGATTTTCACTGTCATTGCTTCGCTTCATTTGATGCGGGGATTAATCGAAAACGTGCGTGGGCAGAGCTTCTTCCTCTGCCGCTGCACTGCTGCTGCTTCTGCTGCCGTAACTTACTGTTAAATTCCAGGCATTTCTAGCCAAAACACACACTCAAAAAAATGTGCCACAAAAGTAGCGAAGCGCTAAGCGCTAAGCAAATATTGCTAGAAACGCTGATAACAAAAAAAAGACTTTAATTAGAGGCTAAATCTAAAGGGAGCTTGGGGGAGCGGAGGGAGGTGTGTTGTTGTGGTCGGCAGCATTGTGTCGCCACAACAACACTCCCACACTTCGAAAGAGAGCCATGGACATTCCACCGAGAGTATGTCTGTTGTAGGCAGCAACCGGAGCCAGAGCCCGGGGCCGAATCTGGAATCCACCCCCGGAATCCATCACCATCCCTGCACAAACGAACGATTGCCACTCCATGGAGACAACGAAATTCCGCCACTCACCTGTGCTGCTGCTGCTACTCTGCTGCTGCGGGTGGTGTCCCTGTTCTTCCAGGTATCCACTGCAATGCTGGACGCCAATCTAATTATAGTTTTTTTTCAACCGATTCCCGGATGCAGCTTAAGCTCCGCTCTCTGTGATGTGTGTGCGTGTGTGTAGGTTTACTTTTTGCAATTGTTAAAGCAGACGTTCCGTTTTTTCGTTCGCTGCTCCTCTACTACACGGATGGCACACAGACGCGCGCATGGCACACACTCACACACACTCGCGTAACGCACATGCAACGGTTAAAATTCCGTTGGCCACGGCCAGCACACAGCTTTCATCGACTTCCGAACGTAAACTGTGGCCATTGGATTGTCGCCGCTCGCATTGCAGGAAAAGTCGGAAAATTTGTCGGGTCGGGGAAGAGCGCGCCTGCGCTTACCGATTCGCACATTTTCTTATCACTGAAGCTCTTGAAAAACTGACGGAATTTACGCGCTTCTAACGAGACGCCTTTTTGTTGTTATTTCGGGGGTATTGATTTTATATACTTTAACGCTTGTGCCAGCAACATTTAACGTACGCGAAACTGTTGAAATCTTCCCAGTGATGCAGCGACAGCAGCTGCAACTCGCGGAACAACCAAAAATAGGGATTTCTTTCAGAAATTCTAATAATCCCGAATAGTTTCAGCCTGCCTGGTGACTCCCGCTCCAACGAACACCGATTTCTGCGATGTATATCGATACATCGATAGTGGGTCAGGTGTGTTTTCTGGCAACGCTGCAATTAGTGCTGTGTAATATGAAATGCTCGATTTGCATTGCTATCCAACACTCGCGCTGATTTCTCGTTCTCTCGTTCATAATAAAAATTGTCAATAACTTTGCTCGGAAAGTAGTTGCTGCAACTAATTCTTAAGAGCGCGACTAGGTTGTGCAACTCGTGTGTGTGCGTGTGTGTGTGTGTGTGTCCGTCTTGTGTCCAGCGTACTCCTGGCCCTACCCCCTTGTACGTGCTGGAGAGCAAAAGAATTGTGCAATAGGCATTCCCCTCCACAAAAATCGAAGGATTTTGTCGTCGCGTTCGTGGAGAATCTCGTGTGTGGAGAAAATGTGAAACGTGAAACTGCAGCCCATAACCCAAACAGCGGCAGTTGACGAAAGTCTATCAAACATGTGCTTGGTGGAGCATGCGGGGGACCAGCAGAAGCAGCCATCATCGCCAGTGACGTCTTCCACAACATTCTGCTCAAATCGCAATCGCAACAACAAACCCTCCCCCTCCTCCATTACCATAGTAAACAGCCAGCAGCAGCAGCAGCAGCACCATCATCAGAGCCTGCGTAGTGGCGCCAGCACCTCCATTACCACTCCTACTACCACCACATCGCCGACCTTCAATGCTAAATACAGGCGAAAATGCTTGCTCCTGCTGACGCTGCTCCTCTTCCACGGCTGCTTCAGCGGGCTGCATCGGGCCAGCGCGTACAATTGCACGGCGCACGGGAGTCGCTGCCAGAACGATGGCCAGTGCCAGGAGGATGGACAATGCCTGTGCGCGGACGGTTGGCAGGGGCCCGAGTGCCAGTTTTGCGGTGGAAAAGTGCGGTAAGTTCTGCTCAAAGGTGCTGGTGCAGGGAGTGAAGTGCTTATGTTCCATGATTCATACTAAATAAAATAAAAAACAAAATTCTGCGTCAACGTTATCCAATCAACGCTCCACACTCTTTCTTTTTTTTTTTTGTGTTGTATGGCCTATTTGTGTCAGGCAACGGTTTGGTTTTTCTCGTTGAACGGGTTCTTACCTCTCTCTCTCTCGCTCTCCCTCTCTCTCATACTGTTTGAGGTCTCTCCCTGTCTCTTTGTGGACCCGCTCTGAGCGTTCTTTCACCTGCTTTCTACGGTCAAACAGAACACAGTCGCCCCTCCTGTCACTGCCAATACGGATTATTTAATTAACCTGCTTTTGACTTTGAACTTGTCCGGGGAGATGGACAGGTTTTGTCTCTCTGCCAAATGAAGTTCTCTTGGCCAGGCAAATGTGAGATACGTGCATAGGTACATATATTATATAGCGTCATAAAGCTTATGAAATGCTTTGTTTATGTTTCCAGTGCTGTTTGCACAGCAAACTCGATAAGAGGGAAAGAGAGAAAAAGTACTATCTTGACATTAACTAAGCTCTGGGGTGCTTTCATCGTTTTAAAACAAATGCCCTGAGGCGTTGCCTGATGATGGATCCGCAAAAACATGCGCACCCAGCCATTAAGGTTGTTTCACCTGTCCCAAATTGTGCATTTCTGATCTGCCAGCTCTAGTTTATGGCCTGGACTTTCAGTACTTTTCGATTTACGTAGCTGATTCGCGAAATCTTCCTCAGTCGCTTATCATTTATCAGCTGCGCTTATCGCTGGGCGGGAGAGAGTATTACGGTTTTAGTTGGACTTGCCCTATCTCTCACTCGCTCCCATCAAACCACCCACCCACCTGTCGTCTGTGTTTGCACACGATTCGCATTTGAATGGGCTTTGGGCAGCAACAACACAAACTACGAAGTGAAACTGGGTGGCTCTCCTCCATTAATGCATTCCAAGTCATTGCACACATGACGAAGGCGACCCTACTGGTCACCTACACTCGCTCTCCCTCACTCTCTCTCTCTCTCTCTCCATATGACTCTCTTTGTGCGTAGGAGCTTAATGCCCAAAATGCTATTTAAATAGACCCTAAAATAGATACCCTACTGACATTCGGTTGTGTTATTTCAGTCCAAGAATCGCTCAATGCAAATGTACAGTAGTACTTGGTAGAGTGCACACATGCTCAATGTAACCTGAGCTACAGCATACGTACACCCGAAACCACTTTCCCTCAGTTAATTGCTTAAACATCTTGGGGCGAATCTGTAAGGCCTGTTCTGCCAAGTGTAGGGTAATCCTATGAGAGAATGCGAATGAGAGACGAGCGAAAAGAAAGCAGTTATTTTTAAGCGGATGTGTGACTGGAATATGAGAGTCGACTGTTGAATGCCCTGATTGAGTTTCAAGCTGCGACTGACATGCGTTACAGCTCAAATAGCTCATACCCTCAGCTCAACAGGCATTTCAATTTATTATCCCCATTTGCGTGTATGTGTGCGTGTTTTTGTGCTATAACAAAGAATGCAGCACAAGGCTAGACGCAAGGGAAAGAGTAAATAAAGAACGGTCACCTTTTGTGCACACTCAACAGTTGAGAGGCTTCAGCTGTGGTCGGTCTCCGACTCCATCTCTCTTTCTCTGCCGCTTTTTCTATCAATGAATGGGGGGAGATTGCATTTACGCTGGCCGGCAAATTCAATTATCTTTGAACAGTCTGAACAATGGATGCTGCTCCATTGGCATTGCACATGAAGTCGCCTCCATTGAATCGATTGCGGAATTGATTTATCATTTGCCACATCGATTACGCTTTATACGGATTCATTTCACATTTCCCCTCCCACCCCTACATCATTCTCTTTTCGTGGCTCTTTGTTGCAGCATGTACCATCCCATGGGCACAATACACGACGGTTGGGGCAACTATTCGGTGAGTGTCAAGTGCAGTTGGCTTATCGATGCCCGACACCCGCACTGGGGACGGCGACATAATGCCAATTCGCCAAGAACCTCCAATATACGGATTCACCTACGAGAATTTGCCACGGAATGCGGCTGGGATCACCTGTACATATACGATGGCGACAGCGTAGACTCGCCCCTGCTGGCGGTCTTTAGGTGAGTGACAGATTACTTGTGACCCCTGTCTCAATGGCTAACCTTTATTCTCTTCGTCTTTCTGTCTTGCAGTGGCCTCATGTATAGGGGGAACTTCTCCATTCGCCGTGTGCCGCAGGTGATAGCCAGATCGGGCACTGCCCTGGTGCACTTCTTCAGTGACGATGCCTACAACATGTCTGGCTTCAATCTCACCTACAAAATGAATGGCTGTCCCACGGATAGCGATGGTATGGAGTCTGTCTTTGCTCTCAACTGTACTCCTATTGATTTTCTCATCTATTTGCAGAGGTGGAGTGCTCGGGGCATGGCAAGTGCCGGGATGGTGAATGCATCTGTGATCCCATGTACAGGGGTGAGGCCTGCAATATGGCCGCCTGTCCAGGCAATTGCTTGGAGGAGAAAAATCAAGGCAACTGCAGACTGGACCAGGAGCGGTAAGTCCCTAAAGAACACAAATCTAGTCCAAATGTTTATTAGTTTCTCTATCCTTAGTTGCATCTGCTACGATGGCTTTGCTGGCGATGATTGCAGTCAGGTCAGTGCCCATGGCGCCTGGACCACTGTACATCCGAAGCACTCGCCGGCGCCAGCGGGCAGTGCCTCCCATGGCGCCACCGTATGGCGTGACACTCTGCACATTTTGGGCGGTGAATCGTATGGACGCGGTGAGCTAATGAGTACCTATGACTTTAACGGCAATGTGTGGGAGACCGTACATCCTGAGGATGGCGGCGAGGTGCCCGACAAGCGCTATGGCACCTCCACCGTCATGTATGGCGACAAAATCTTCATGTACGGAGGCGTCGTCAAGGGCCAGGGCATCTCCAATGAGCTGTGGGCCTTTGATGTGTCGGCCAAGACGTGGGAGAACATCACCGTGCGGACGGACGCGTGCAATGTAACCACCTCGCCAAGTGGCATGTGCGGGCCACTCCATGTGGTGGGGCACACGGCCACGCTGGTCCCCGGCTTCGGGGACAAGAACAACTATCAGTATATGGTGGTCATCTTTGGGCATTCGCCCCACTATGGCTACCTCAACACGGTGCAGGAGTTCAACTTCGGCTCACGTGAGTGGCGCATTGTGCAGACCTCTGGCTACGTGGTGAAAGGCGGCTACGGGCACAGCGCCGCCTACGACTTTCTCACAGAGAAGGTCTACGTCTATGGTGGCATTGTGTCGGAGAGCGAGTCCAGCCAGGTGCTGAGCTCGCGGCTGTACGCGTACGAGCCATCTACGCGCATTTGGAACTTGCTTTCATCGGCGCCCAGTGCACGGCTGCTGCACACCGCAAACTTTGTGAACCAGGGCCTGATGATGGTCTTCGGGGGAAACACGCACAACGACACCTCCACGAGCTATGGCGCCAAGTGCTACAGCAAGGACCTGCTCGTCTACGATGTCTACTGTGATTCCTGGCACTTCCATCAGATGCCCAGCTACCTGCAGGCGGATCTGGCTCGCTTTGGCCACAGTTCGGTTGTGTTTGAGGATGCTCTCTACATCTACGGGGGATTCAATGGTCAGCTGCTGAACGACATTTTGCGTTACCAGCCGGGCTACTGCAGCTACTACACCAAGCAGGAGAAGTGCACCAGCGCCCGGCCCGGCATCAAGTGCATCTGGGATGTGCAGAAGATGCGCTGCATTTCGATCACCCAAGTGCAACGGTCAGCCATTTATGGCCGGGAGCAGTACGACTATGTGGCGTGCCCTTCGAAGAGTCGTCTCACCATGACCTCGGAACTGCTGCACGACGTCCTGCGCTGCCAGGAGCTGGGCAACTGTCAGTCCTGCGTCTCGACAGCCTTCGATTGCACCTACTGCGGCAATGGAGTGTGCAGCAAGGAGCGTTGCCGCGAGACCACCTCCGTGGCCTCCGTCTTCCTTGAGTTGTCTACGCATCAATCCGTGCCGCAAGTTCCAGCAACGAC